AATAGAAAAAAGATATTATGTTTTGTTTGTCGATCAGTTTTCAAAATACATGTGGCTCCACACAATTCAATCCAAACACAAAGTTTTAGATGCTTTCAAAACACTACATCCATTACTCGAATGTCGGTTTCGAACAAAATATTATCTTTTTATATCGACAGGGAAGGTGAATTTCAGTGTTTCACTTCTTATCTAAAACCACAGGGCATTGAACACCTAATTTCCCCACCTTATACTCCTCAAAGTGTTGTTGTAGTAGAGAGACGATATCGCCATGTTGTCGAGACTGCAAAAACTCTAATGCACCAAGCTTCTTTACCAGCCACTTTTGGAATTAAGCGTGTCATCAAGTTGTTTTTCTCATAAGCAGAATGACAACTCCAAATTTACCATGTGCGCACCCAAAGGGTAGCAGCTCGCCGGCTGTGGGTTTCTCTTATCATAAAAAAAGAACTCCAAAATTACAAGATAAGTGTCCATACAAGCCTGACTCCTAAGTTGGGTACTGTTTTTGCATACGACCGTCTATATCTCAATCGCGAGGTATAATTGAGTGTTATCACTCCCTGCCCCACTTAATCTGCTCCTATTCGACTTCCTGCCAGTACCATGTAAACCACCCATCACCAACACCTATAGCCGTCAGACCTCTAAGGTTACAACATCTGTCCAAGCCCCTTAGCTACCTCCAACCATTGAATTGCAGCCACCACACCCTAATGCCCCTCCATCGCAACCGAAACCAACCACTCTTTTTTTTTATGACAAGGGAAACCCGCAGCCGCTACCCTTTGGTGCGCACAGGGTAAAACCCCCGCTCCTATGCAATAGCTCGCAAACCACATAGGAGAGGTAACCCGCACTAGGCAAGCCCGGTGCGACGAGCTCGACCCAGAAGGCAAACCCCTTGCTTTCGCTGGCAAGGGGTTTCGAACTTGAGACCTCCAACATGGAAGTCTCAAGCCCAAACCACTGGGCCACCCCGAAGGGTAACCGAAATCAACCACTCTTCTCACCCAATGGTTACCCGCTAAAAAATAATAGCCTGATACCCAAGAATTTTCTTGCTAACACAAATCTCTAGTCACCAATTCCCCACTCCTATCGTCAACCAAAACTATATCCCCAATGGCAAGAAGCAACGAAAGCAGAATATGATGCTCTAGTCAGAAACCAGACATGGGATTTGGTCCCTAGTGATCCCTCTCAAAATGTTGTGGACTATAAGTGGCTGTTTGGAATGAAACATAAACCTAATGGAAGCATTGATAGATATATGGCTCGCCTAGTAACCAAAGGCTTCACTCAAATACCAGGGTTATACTATCATTCCACACTCAGCCCCATTGGCAAGCCTGCAACAGTCCGCTTAGTTCTTGCAATTGTTGCCCAATGCTCCTGGCCTATTCATCAGCTAGATATCAACAATGCCTTCTTGCAAGGTAGTCTTGAAGAAGAAGTGTACATGTGACAACCTCTTGGTTTTGAGTCCTCTCAAACTTCCACATACATCTGCAAGCTCAAAAAGGCCATATGCGGACTTAATCGGGCTCTTAGGGCATGGTACACCGAGCTCACCAACTACTTGACAAGTATTGGATTTGTTTTTTTTTTATAACCGAGAAATCCGTCTGTGACCCGCCCTTTGGACCAATCACAACTTTCTAAACTCGGTGGATAATGGGCCCGCCCCTCTACCCTCCTCCACTTAAATACCGGGCTTCGCTTTGCATGGTGTGGGGCTTGAACCTGCGACCTAAGCCACAAATCATCCACCTTTTGCCACTTGAGCTAGGCCTTGGGGGCGACAAGTATTGGATTTGTTTAATCAAAATCCAACTCATCTTTGTTTATCCTTCATAATTATGGTGTCATTGTATTCATTCTCATATATGTTGATGACATAGTTATTACCAGAAGCATTCAGACAAGTGTCAGGTCCATAATTACATCACTTTCCCAAGATTCTCTCTAAAAAATCTTTGGGCTCCTGCATTATTTTTTGGGTGTTGAGCTGATATCCACGCCAACTGCCATATATTTGTCTCAACATAAATATGTCATGGATCTTCTAGATGAATTGCATATGGCTAATTGCAAGGGCGTTCCAACACCAATGACATCAACCCGCTCCTTCGCTGATTCAAAAAATGATTCTACAGTTGACGTTTCCCTTTACAGAAAAATCATTGGTAAGCTTTACTATCTATCCTTCACTAGGCTTGGCATAGGGTTTTCTGTTAGCTAGTTGTCTCAGTTTATGCATAATCCTAAAGTGTCTCAGTGGAAAGCCACCAAACGTCTGTTGCGCAATCTCAAACACACAAGCACAGTGGGAGTCCAGCTAAGTCGACAACCAACAGATCATTTACTTGATTATTCTGACTCCAATTGGGCTGGAAATCCACAAGACAGAACTTCAACTACAGGTTATGTTGTCTGCCTTGGGAATTAATCAATCTCTTGGTCTTCCAAAAAGCAAGTCTGTCTCACACTTATCCACGGAAGCTAAGTATGAGTTGTTGCAGCTACTGTTTCTGAAGACAATTGGCTCACGAAATTGTTCCATGAGTTTCGTTTTTCACTGTCTGCTCCAACAGTCCTCTGTGACAATGTTAGCACCACCTAAATTTGTGCTAATCCAGTGTTTCACAGTAGGATGAAGCATGTAGCTATTGATTTCCATTTTTTTCGGGAGCAAGTTCAACAAAAAGCACTTGAAGTTCGTCACCTTCACTATGCTGATCAAGTTGCCGACATCCTTACCAAGCCTCTTTCACGTACAAGTACAGCTTTTTTGCGCCATTTTCACAAGTTGGGGCTGGTTCCGGTCTCCCCCCCCCTCCCCCCAACTTGAGGGGGCGTATTATCAGATAATATTTGTTATCCTTTAGTTTAGAAGTTTGTTATTATTTCCTATTTTCCAGCTATCTGCTTTCCGTATTCTAGTAATTTTAACCATTTAGGACTTTCACTAGTTTCCTGTATTTTAGTTGCACAGTATCTTATCAGATTACGATGTATTTTTGGATTAGTATTTCAGTGTTGTATCTGCTCTATATAAGGAGCATGTTGTTCATGAATAAAATCATCTTTCTCTTCTACATTTCAAACCTTTATACCCTTCTGTATCCCCACCTCAGCTTCTCTAAGATTCTTGGACTACCATTTACTTTCTTGCACTACCTTAACATGTGAGTAGTTGGTTTCAGTTGCTCTGGGAAGAACTGTCAATTCCAACTTTGAAGAACATTTAATGAATCTCTCTATCTTAAATACAATATCACATCAACCTGCATTCAAAGTTGTTTCGGGGATAATAATGGCTGTTCCCCCACCTCCATTCAAGGATAATATGCTCATTATCTACCATACTCATTAAATTTCCTGGTGCAGAAGTGCTCTGCATCATGTTCTGTGGTTTTCCATCTCCTAACTACTTTATGCTGATCTTTGCTCTTTGGAGGCCTCTCTAAGCACAAAACAAATCCATTCCATGATCTTATTGCTTATGTATGATCTTCTCATCATACTATGACTTCTTTCCACCCATTCATACCAGATGGCACTATCAGATGTCCACTAGTGATGCCAAACGACTTAAAACCAGCATTGAAGTAAATCCTATTCTCCCCCATCTTTGTGCAAAACTCTGTTATTGGATCTGAAAGGAAGAAGGGTTGATGCCTATCAAAGAGAGTGCACTTTTATTTACTTAATTATATTCTCAACATGACCCCTTAAGTGCGGGCTTGATTCTTTTTTACAGGGACAAGCATGTGGAAATTCTTTTTGATAACGGGTGGCATTGAGACTCAACCCAGGACATCTGTCTGCTCTGGTACCATGTTAAAGTATGTGACCATCTCATCTTAAAGCTTAAGTTGTTAGGGAGGCGAGGGTCCTTCATTAAAGGGGGGAAAAGAGGGGTGGGCTTTGTTCTGGGGGGGCCGCCTTGCGCAGCTTTAGAAAGGAGAGAATGACTTTCTGAAATTCTCTCCAACCCTTTCTATCTATCTTTAGAAGTAGGGCGAGAGAAAGTCAATATGATATTTGCGTTGGTTTTTCCAACGAAACTAAGCACTTTTCTTCTTTCTCATTCGGAAGGCTCAGTCCCACACCCTGACTTCAATGATGGGAACAACCTCCGCACTCCGGCGCTCCACTGAACAACAGTTCTCCGCCTTACTATATTTAGAATAGTGGTCGATCCTTCGGGAGTTACATTCGTAACAACATTACATGTTATGTTCACGCGGATGGAGAGGGATTCGAACCCCCGGTATTTCTAAAAATACTTCGGTTTTCAAGACCGACTCTTTCAACCGCTCAGACATCCATCCCCTTCGCGCTTCGCCCGCCCTATCCATCCGCGCGCTGGCAGGTAGGGGCTTATCTATGTGATTCGCTACGCTTGCCTGCGCCTATCGGCTGATTCTATTGCCTGCCGGTTAGCAAAACTTTTCCGGTAGTACGAATCGCTACGCTTCGCCTTTCTATATGATAATATGCATCTTGGTTGCTGCGCTCCCTGCGGGTAATAGCAAGAGAGTGAATAACGAATGATCCTCCAAACTCAAAGAGTGATTGAGTCCGACTCAAGCGAGTGAGTGAAAGGCGTGGCCAATCCACGTGGCCTGCTTGACAAACGTCAGCGACGGAGACATCGTAAATTGGTCCGCAGGCATCGCGATAAGTCCTCTGTCCTACTACAGGTGCTGCGACAACCTTTACCAAGTCCGAACGATTGTCGACCACCAGATCCGCTAAAATTTTGAAAATCAGTTTTGTTACCTTTTCTGGATGTGTAAGTCAAATTACTCCTTAGACTTTTACCAATTAAAACAATAACAACTAAACCTCAATTTCAAGCCATTTAGGATTCTGCATGTCTCAATCTTTTTTAAATGCCATATTTGCTGAATGCTAACAAAATTATGATGGGGATAAACAAAAAGATTAAGATGGGAAATTAAATTAGGATTAGGATTAGAGCTTACCGTCAAGGCTTCTTCTGATCCAATTGAATCACCACCGTAGACAAATAGTTGGCCCCCACAACCATTCTGTGTATTTTTAGCGGACCAACGCAGAATAATAACAGGGAGTCTTTTGTCTCCTGCTGAGAGCTGCAGCTTTACATAACTAGACGAAGCTTCAGCCTCTGGACTTTTCTTGCCAGGAACTGATATATTCCACAACAAAATATCGCCATCAACATAACCAACAGCCAAAATTGACCCATCAGATGACAACCAACAGAGTGAGCTTATTTCTTTTTCGCCTTCTTGATTATCTGATGAAGCACAAAACTTCTCTTCACTAGCATTTTTTGAAGCATAAACAACAATTTCATCCTTTAATTGGTGTTGTTTAAACTCTCTAACAAGAGCAGCTCGATCTTCTGTAATGTCCCAAAGAACAATTAATCCATTCTCATAAGCAATCAGGACCCTGAGGAAACAAAAAGAAAGACGACGCTAGGACCCCAAAAAGTACTTGAGTGCAGCAAGAGACCAAGGGTAGATGTGTGATAAGAAGCAGAAGAATGTGGATGCTGAAAACAACTCTAAAAATGAAAAACCAAAGACGAGAAAATAAGGGAGAAATTTCGATCATCTCTTACCTATTTCCATGTGAACTAGGTTGGGGAAGTAAACCAACAATGGCGAGTTGGTCGGGCATTGAAATATTAGCAGCTTCTGCAACAGATGATCATGGGTATATGAGAAGATGTTCACATAAGTTAGTCCAAAGAAATTGTATTCATCGGTACACTTGCTTTTGGAGGATGAAAACCACACTGCAATTTGCAAGAAGTGGAAGATCCAAAAGAGCAGGATACTGACTTACTCCGACAAGTCAGCACCTTCCAAGAAAAGGGGAAGACTTTCACGAAAATACATTTCTTACTCATATTGACCTTAAGAGTTTCTAATTATCAGTTGTCATCCTACTCTTCTACCCTCTTAATTCGAAAGATTTGTGTTTCTCATGGTAAAATCATAAGCTTATTGATACTGCACTCTTCTGGGAAATCCTAAAAATATGAACAATCGTTGAAAAAGCACTTGAGTTATTAGGAGCACGTCAAAAGTTAAAGAAATTTCCAAAAACTGGATGGTGTAACGTTTGGTATACATCACCCTGAGAGTTAATGTCAATGTTCTTATACGAACCATCAACCTATGTGCTAATTTTAAGGCTTACTAGATGCTGATCATAAATCACAGAGTAGATATTCTTAGTGCATGTCAAACTTCACTGCTTGGCCTCTAGTTCAAGTTAGTTTGTCAGTAGTGTTGTGACTACAAATGCAATTGAGCTAAGATAAAATTGTCAACTACTTTATATAGTCACTTTCTTGCCAAATCTCTCTACTGCGAATTGATCAACCATAAGTTCTCATAAAAACTTACATATAACAAGAGAAATAAGTCAAATAATCAGGGTCTCACTAATGCAAATCTGAGATATTGTGTGTTAAATATGGTGTAATTTTTGAAATTGTTAAGTATGGTATAATTAGATAGTGTAGATATGAGAATATCCTCAAATCTCTGTAATTAGGCAATTAGGAGGTTGTGTTATATTCTTATTAGTTTCCTTTCTTCTTTACGTTCTTTGTAACAACTATTTAATCCTACTAGCTTGAGGGAATAATTACGACACTAATTCCAAAATTCTCTTCTCCTTCTAACCTCTCACTGTGCATATTAAAACTAGAGAGAAATCCAAGAGATAAAATGACAGTGAAATTGCATCAGGAAAAGAATAAAGATTTAGCAATAGGTTATTCCCTCGGTCAAAATTAGCTGAAAGTTCCCACAACCGAACTTGGAATGGAAGGCTTAAAAGAAATGAAATAAGAAAGAAACACAATGGCTTCAAATCATTTTAAGTTTCTCCGGAGAAAGATGTAACTAAAAGAACATTTAGTTAGTAATTTCCAGTAAAGCCATGATCCTTTAACTATATGAACCTACTATACAACAGATATCTGAAAGCAATCCCGTTACCAGCTATAAGATTCGGAGGCATGTGATAAGGTAACAGTTCCATGATTCCTTCCTCGTACTTCAGAACAGAGAGATAACCATATTCATCTCCCACGAACCTGTGTACAGTCATATCGCATGTATCAAATAAAAAACTAACTGTACGGTGAACAAGAATCTTTTGAAATAACAATATCTACCCATTTACATGTAATGAGTGTCATAGATAATGGAGAATGCAGTAATATTGGACTCCCACTGTAAACTAGAAGATATTCTCCTGTTCTCTAGATCCCAAACCTGTCAATTATTAAAGGAAATTAACTGTTAAAGAGATACAAATGCAGCATATCGAAAAACGGGGAAGATATAAGCACTGATAGAGGAGAAGAAGAGAGTGGTGCAGATTCATGGCTGATTAACAGTAATGCCATCTCCCCCAAAGACACATGAATGCGAGAGAAGAGTTTCCTGGGTACCTGTGTCTGTGTGAACTAACTTGCCTATACTCTCCTATCAAAAGGTTCCCTCAAAGTAAAAGCACGTTGCTATACATCTCCACCAGTGAGCTAAAAGATTCAAGTAATTCCCAGCTCGGAAATTAGTCTTTAACAGGTCAAATTGCGTAGCAGAAAGATCACAGATTACCTGAATTTCATTTCCATTTGAGACGCCCACTAAAAATCCTTGGTTTTGCAGGAACTGGAAAGAGGTAAGAGAAAAATATATTTATATCAAAAGAGCCCAACACATATGCACTATGCAAGTATAAGGGTTGAAACTACAAATTCCACATGGGCACAGCACACTTGTCCTATTTCATTTTACCAATATCACAGCCATTTCTAAAGTTCATAATCATACACATTTGAAGTGCATGCTAACCATCACTCGAGTAGTAAATTATATAGCATCAATTATTGGAAGCATAGAGTCAAGAATCAGCTTGCCAAAAATATCATGAAACCAGATATAAAATTCATCAGATGATAATGCCAGACTCCAAAACAAAATCTACAAGCGATAAATGAAGCTCTCTGGAGAAACAGAGCTTGGAATTCCCACATGCTCGTGGTCTTAATTTAGAAAAGTGTACCTGTACAGATACACAGAGAGACCTCACACAGCTCAGATTACAAACCTCCAAATTCTTGAACGCCAATGGCTTAGGAGAGAAAAGAAGGCCCTCGACGTTAGATCCACCAATCACTTTAATCCTTCCATCCCTGTAATTATAATGATTATTAGTTGTATGAAAGAACTAGGAGAGAGACATGAGGATGGGACATTTCTAGTTGATGGCAGTTCTTTCAAGCTATGCCTTCCCGCTTGTTGCATATGAACACAGAAGCCTAAATGGCATGTTTTTGAACTGTGTTTGAGGTCGAAGAAGTTTCATGTATTTATACAATGGATTATGAGTTCAGCTTAGAATGGAAAAATGTTATGTCCATATGACCTGAAAATTATGGCAATTGGTCCTAATATGTGTTTTACATGGTGATGCTTCAGCCTTGAAAGAACTATAAAATGTATTTACAGCACTAAGTATTGTGCAACCTTGTTTTTTGCTATTAGCACTCTAGGATCCTGCTAAGGCTATCAAAAAGAGAATCAGAATCATGTCATTAGTTATCTTCGTTACTGTTTGAAATTCTCTCAAAGGAACTTATTACTCCCCAGATGAACTCCTTAATTAATGTGCTACTTCTAAAGTTGAGAGGCCTCCATACCTTGTTGCTGAATGAGACAAATAATGCACTATCATCTGCTTCTTATAAGCCGTACAAAAACATGTAAATGAAAGGTCTGGTAGACTAAACAAAGCACCGTCATAAGCATCTTCAAAGGCATATAAATTACTATGTTTTTTTACTCACAATGTTCCTATTGCCAAGAGTTGCTGAATAGGGTCAAATGCCAGAATGGATGCTGTAGATGGAATCCCATAGTGAACAGAAACTGTTGCTTCCAGGTCTGACAATTTTTCACTTCCTTCGGGTGCATTATTCTGAGAAAAATGTGGTAAGGGAGTTTTAAAGCACAATACAGTAAATTCAGCAGATAGAGACTATTAGGTTTGAATTATATACTATGCAAACAAGCATTAGTTCTAGTTTGTGAAGGGAGAAAGTATTGTTATGCAAGCTGGATGACTTTCTAAATGCACTATCAAACTGTAAGTAACATATCTCGAGCTGATAGAAGGAAGAGAATGCATGATGGGAGCAATACTAATCATCTCAGACTGGCAAAGCAGCACCAGTGGAACTTAGAATCATTTCTCTGATTCTCTCCCTTCATGTTTTCTATCTTCAATGCAGTCTATTCCGTGGCCTTTGAAAAACATCATTCACATAAGTTCTTTTTTGCTTCCTCCATCCTTACTAGTTTGCAGGATGCTCTTCAACTAAGAAGGCATTCTGGTAGGAAGGCCGACCACTACACGAGTCGACATAAGCTCAAGAGAGAAGTTAACATTCCTTGATTCCCCTTCATAAGCAGGAAGAGAACGAAAATAGACTACATACAATAGCATGCTTGATTGAAAATTTTATAAGAAGAAGCGAGATCTTACATTGCGTTGCATTTTACTTGGTAGAATCCCTGACCCAGTCTACAGTATTTGTATTGGAGCAATTCAAGAACAACAATTAGCTGAACCTAACATATAAAGTTTACCCTTCACGATATCATAAACCAAACTTCTGAGAATTTGGTATTGTCTCAAGAAGAAAACTGTTTATTCCATTTAATCATACTCTTGCTATATATTTCTATCTAATCTCATCCACAACCTGAAATCAAAGCCCTAGCCCTGTTTTCACAGGACATGAAACAAGGTCCGGATAATGTTACCTCATATTTCAAGTGTTCATTTTAAAGACTGAAAAAAGTTCAACAAAGACAGAGACAAGTTCAAAGCATTTAGTCATTTACATCCTGGAATGTGTCTCTGGCCCTAGCCCAGATTATAAGAAATCAAAAATGCTCCAATAGAAACAATTGGCTCTCCCTATTGCATTTGAGCTAACACGAAATGCTAGTTCTTTTACTTCATATTGTCCAACACGACATGTTTATTCTTCTGTTTTATGTCTCATATTTTTCCTGCACTGTAGCAGAAATCATTGCTGATGATTTCTCTTAGATTTTACTTTCACACTAAAAAGGAAGATAAAGGCATGGACCTAGGGTTTCTGGGAGCTCAACGAACACCACTTTGATCCTGCCTTGCACTGAAATCAGTTTTGGCAACATATACTGATCTTCAAACTTTGTCATCAACAAACACGTTGTGAATAAATTTTACTAAATGACAAACATGTTAAGAATATATTTAACAAAATCTAAGAACCCCACTGCATTAGCATCTTGCACCATACACTGTCAGTGATGATTAATAATTGTACAACCATATGATAGAAGGGAAGCGAAAAGGCAGAAAAATAACAAAGGATCAAGATTGATCCGAGAGCACCAAGAAAAGAACCTGAGAGAATTTTAAACAGAAGGTGTATTGTATTAGCATCAATTGATCACAAGAACCTTCTATGTACATCAATCAATCACCAGAATACTATTACACAACTAACTAACTTCAAGTAACTACCCGTTGTAACTTTTTTGGGGCTGGTTATCACTACCAACACCATCTTTTCCTTCCTTTTGAGCTAAAAAAAGGAGTATCTTTAAGAGTTATTCCCCTGTTTAGCATAGAAGTGGAGGCAGAAGAGAGCTCAAAATGGAAGTGTTGGGTATTCTCCTTTTGAAACTGGTTGAGGAGGGAGAAAAAATGTATCTTTTACATCTCAAACAACCAAAAATAGTAGCCATTACTTCACTTAAGGGAAGTAATTCAATAGGTTTCTCTTTCTTTCTAGTTCTTACCCTTATCAGCCATTTCATGGAACTAAACTTAAAGTTAATAAAATTTGTAATCCTTTCCACTTCATAACAGATATAAAAAGTCACGTCAAATACTCCTATGCTAATATTTGTGCTAAGAAATACCATCTGCTGTCATTTTTTAGGTGGGGTATATCTCTTCTCTTGCCGCAATAATTACAGATTTTCCTTCTTTTTTTTCCGTCGTCAGATTTCTACACGATTGGACAAACAACATAAATGGTAGCATAGAATCTCTAAGAATCAAAAGATCAAGCATTAATTGAAGAAGACTAAAACAATGTCTGACAGTGGTTACCCCTCTCCTAAAGAGCTCTAAACAAACAATTCAGCAAATAATTGCATTTACCAAAAAAGCAAAAAGGATCGGGAAAGCAAATCAGGTTTGTGTTATAATGTGAAAAAAGATCAATATGCAAAATTGAGAATTCAAAAACGATGAAATGGAGCAATTTACCGGTGGCGTGGGATTGAGTTTTTCAAAAAATTTAGCAAACATAGCGAGCGCTGTTGAATCTACCGAGCGGAGCAGTTGTTCAAGTTGTTGATTGTTCGGATCTTTATTATATGTAGGAGGTGACAGAAAAATGAGCAAAATCGGTTACGTCTCAAATCTCAATAACAAGCCTCCGATGCTGGTATGAACACCAGTAGAAAAATTAGAAAAAAAAATAAATGAAGAAATATATATATACAAAAGGTTAAAAAAAAAAGGAGAAAAAAAATATAATTCTGTTTTTTGGCCACAAATACATACATTTTTTGAACTTTGCTAAAGAATAATAAACTTATTTTAAAAATATTATAATTACATCAAGATGAATAAAAACAGGGTAAACAATACAAATCTCACTAGTTTAGAAGCAAATTACTCCACGTCAAGTGAGTTTTCAATATTATGAATCTTATCGGAATTTGTACTACGGATACATGTATATGGCGTGTCTAAGATACATGTATTTCGAATACATGAGGTCAAAATTAAGTGTAATTGATTTTAGATCTATTATAACCAAGTGGATTCACATTTATTTGACTCTCTTGCTCGCCTCTCTCCTTCTCTCCTCTCTCCCCTCTCCTCTCTCCTCTCTCCCTATGTACATATATTTCAAAATGTATCTGAGATACCATATACATGTATCTAGTGTGATTTGCATGTATGTGGAATACATAGACTAACTTGCTCGCAACCTTCCGGTTGTGTTCACCTCTCTCCCTATTACCTTTGCATTTTAACCCTGTAACAAGGGCAAACTTACTCAATCCAAAATGAAAATGCGTACCATTAACTGAAAAAATGCATCATAAACTTCTCTTCAGAATGCACTTGCCTCATCAACAAATTATGTAAAACGCGTCCTTCCACCATAATTAGCGACATATCTAGATATTTATCAAAGAAAGTTTGTCTAAACAATTTAATTTGTACAACTGACAAAATATCATCAAATCATTAACTACATCACAATTCGTGAAACATTCAATCCTCGACTTGTAATTAATATCTATTTTGATATAAAATTCACAACCTGCACATATAATAAAAGTATACAAGCAAATTAACAAAACCAAAAATTAAGAAAAGAAATGCTCACTTATTGCATGATACCATCACTACATATATATATATACACACACTATCACAACATACTATTGCTTCAGGTATGTCGGATAATGTAACACCCCGAACTTCGAGAAAGGGCTAAAAGGGGAAATTTGGGCAAGTCCACAAATCCAAAATGCACCATGGACCCTTCGCGACATGCTAGACGGTTCGTGTAGGGGACCACGATCCGTTAAAGATGTCGTGAATAACCATCCAGGACTGCCTGGGAGGGGTCACCTAGACGGCCCCCTAGACGACCCGTGGTGACTTGGACGACTCGTCTAGGGGTTTGTACAAGTCAACAAGTCAAGGAAGTTGCACCCATGTCAGGTCTTGAGTGTTGGGGCAACTTCAAACGATCACATCTTTTAGCACAAAATGAATTTTGGTGGACCAAGACCTATCAAATTAAGTCTTTGAGTCCTCTTTCCAACACCACCAAGTTTACCTAATTCTGAGCCCAGAGTAAAAAGTTATGCACATTTTAGTGAAGCCCTGTCGGGCAGGGCAGCATAATGACCCACTAGAAGGGACATCACGTCTTAGACGGCCCGTCAAGCCCCTCTTAAAGGTCACCTTGTGAGATTTAAGTGAGGTTGCACCCCCAAGGCCACTGTGAAGTACTACAGACGCCTAGACGATCCGTGAAGCTTCACACGAACCGTAAAGTTGTCTGTGAAGGAGACTTATTAGACTTGAAGCTTAGGGACAACTTTAAATGATCATATCTTTCAACACAAAATGAAATACGTGGGCCATAACCTATCAAATTAATGATCTCTTAAGCCCCTTTCCAACGTTGCCGAGTTTGCCTAATTCCAAGCTCAGAGTAAAAAGTTATGCCCGAAATGGTGAAGCCATATCGGGCAGAGCCTCTTCATGACCCACTTGATGGGCTGTGGTGCTCTAGACGGCCCGTGAAGCCTGTCTTGAGGTCACTTCGTCAGCTTTTGAGTCAGGGTGGCATTGGTCTTGTCCCCTATGATTTTGGTACTTAAACTACGTCGTTTAATTCTTAAACTATGTCGTTTTACTTAGTCTAAGCCTAATAATCTAGTTAGAAACTACCCAGAACCCTCATTCTCCTAAAATCATCTAACTTAGAATGAAAAGAAGAGAAAAGAGGTGATAGTTTGCCCAAGAACAAGCAGAGGTCTTCTTCAAGTTCAATCCCAAAATCCAAAGGGTTTCTCCGTAGTTTTCGTCACCAGGTATGTGAGATTTCACTAATGGGTTCCTTTCACCCATTAGGTCCATAGAATTTGGTCAGTTCTTCAAGTTCTCATAAATTGTTCAGACCTGGGGTTTCCAAATCTTGGAGATTCATTGTGAGTTTAGCTGCCATAGTTCCACGATTCTAAATAACATGTTTCTTGGAAAATTTGCATAGTTCCATGTATAGAATTCAGAACCCTAGCTTGTATTAATTATCAATACTCACGAATTATACTTGCTAGGCATATTAGTCAGAAAATCATGCTTCAGAACTCGAATGTCATATCTTTCAGTATATGTATGTTGCATTTTCAGATAACATGTCAGTATTTTGAGCTACTCAGTATTTTAGTTGCATTTTAGCTATATACATATTCAGTTGGGAGTAGACTTAGCACTAAGTTGGACTAGGGTTCAGTGTACCCTCACAGTCCTAGAACTATGTGCCAATGTAGGTTCAGAAGTCTCCTTTGTTGGGCATCAGTTTTAGTTATCACGCCACAATCATGCCTCTATACCCCTGGCAAGGTATATTGGATCCTCTCGATGGGGCGTATACAACGGACTCCACGTTTAGTTCACGTGGTTTATGTCGGTTGATAGTAGCTCCCTGAGTCATACTCTTATTGCATTGACCATGTTATCAGAATTTAATTCAGTATTCAGTCCAACATGTTATCTTCATGATTAGTACTTGGTCATTGCATCTAGCTCAGTTTTCAGTTATACTTCAGCACAACCTATTGCCATGCTCAGTCTATATTGTCAGTATTATATTGTTTTGTTTATATCGTTCAACTTAATATATAACCTGCATGCTCAGTACATTCAAAGTACTGACACATACTTTGCGCTACATCGTTTTATGATGTAGGTTCAGGCGCTTAGCATCCAGATCACGCTTAGTACGATTTCCAGCCCATACTCAACAACTTCAGTGGTGAGTCCTCATAGTTCAAAGTCGTTTCATTATGTTTGGTTTAGTTAGCTTATTTTCAGTCTTTCAGTATTTTTTTTGAGTTAGCTGGGGACTTGTCCCAACAACTCATCAATAGTAGAGGCTTTCAGACATATAATCAATGTTAAGTGTTTTGGGGTTGTTTCCCCAAATATTCAGATATATTTTCATTTGGAGTCCTTTAGTTTTGACTTATTTATTAGTTATGCTTCCGCTTATCTTAGTTTTATATTCAGTATACTTGTGATATGCCAGACTCAAGGTTAGATTGGGGTCACTTTTGATCCTAGGTCCCGTGTTACGTCTAGGGGGTAGCCTCTGGTGTGACAAACTTGGTATCAGAGCATCAGGTTCAAGAGTCCTAGGGTGTCTGAAAGCCACACTAAGTAGAGTTTGTTTCTTGAGTGTGAAGCGCACCACACCTATAAGAGAGAGAGGGGTTACTAGTTGTTCTAAGAAAATTTCCTTTCTTTTGTTATTCCTATCGTGCGTGAAGTGTGATTCAACTTCTCCTTTCTAATCTGTCGTTATGTGCTTCAGATCACGCCTTCTCGCAGAGTTAACACAATTCCTCCAGTCCCGAACCATGAGGTTACGAATGTAGAGTTCCGTAATGCGATCCAACCTTTGGATCAGACCGTATCCAACCAGAACAATCAGCAGGCCCCAGTTCTTGCAAACACCACTGGTGGATCAACTACAACTAGGGTTCGAGAATTTGTTCATATGAATCTGCCAGAGTTTCTAGGGTCGAAGGTTGGTGAGGAGACATAAAACTTCATTGATGAGGTCAAAAAGATTCTTGAGGTAATACAAGTGCCTGGTACCGATAGTGTTGAGCTAACATCCTATCAACCTATGGATGTGGCTCATATATGGTTCACGCAGTGGAAAGACAACAGGGGTGCGGATGCAACTTCTATGACTTGGGATTGTTTTACTAGAGCTTTTCTAGACATGTTCTTCCCGAGAGAGTTGAGGGAGGCTAAGGCTTGAGAGTTTATGATCTTGAGGCAGGGCTCGATGTCAGTCCAAGAATAGGGGCTAAAGTTCACCTAGATCTATAGGTATGCTCTACATATGGTTGCCGATCTGAGAGCATAAATGAGTAATTTCTTATTTGGAGTAGCTGATCTGGTGAAGACCGAGTGTAGGAATGCTATGCTATTAGGGGATATGGATATCTCCAGACTAATGACCCATGCGCAGCAGGTTGAGGGAGATAAGCTCAAGGAAATGACTAAGGACAACAAAAAGGCTAGAACATGCGATTATGAATACTCTCAGCATAAGTCGGGCGGTGGGAATCACTCATAATATCACCAAAAGTCTATACGCCTTCATCATGTAGTGCTTTATCAGGTTTCGACAAGATTTTTGACAAGATCAGAAAGGAAGGGCATCAGGCTCTAAGTCTTAGGGGAGTGCTTTAGGTAATAGGATTTTTCCATTTTGTCCAAAGTGTGGTAAGAACCATCCGGGCGAGTGTCTTGCTGGCAGAGAGGGGTGTTTTGGGTGTTGTAGTCTGGTCATAGGTTGAAGAATTGCCCTTCTACCAGGAAAGGACAATGAGGTAACAAGGCTCAGTCTACAACTTCAGCAAGTCGCCCCACTCAACAGGGTGCCTCGTTTGGTACGGGTGGTGGTTAGCGCCAGAACAAGTTGTATGTTCTTCAGGTTCACCATGACCAAGAAGATTCTCCTGATGTGGTCAATAATACATTGCAAGTTTTCTGTTTAGATATTTATGCATTGTTAGATCCAGGGGCTACACTTTATTTTGTAACTCCCTATATAACAGTAAACTTTGCTGTCAGTCCAGAAACTCTCTCAGAACCCTTCTCAATCTCTACTCCAGCTGGTGACCCAGTTATAGTTAGACGGGTA